ATACCAGGGTACTCAAACTACGGCCCACGGGCCACATGCAGCCCGCCAAGGACATTTATCCGACCCGCCGGGTGTTTTTGCCGCTGCTGCCTGTCCTGCTTAGCAGCCGACTCGTCCCAGGCCCGCCGTCCGGCCCTCCACAGTCTGAGGGACAGTGAACTGGCCCTTGTTTAAAAAGTTTGAGGACCCCTGGTACTATCTGAGTGATAGGCATACTTTTAACTATGACTCGAGCATTGTAAAAGTGATCCATGTAACCAAAAATATCTGTACCTCTGTAATACTTTGAAATGTTAAATAAAATGAGTAAAAGAGTCAAGATATGAAGTATTTGATTAGTACCTTTCTTTATAATTCTCTAATAAATACATGCATAATGTGGACTCAGAGATACAAAATGTGCATGCCAAATATCAGATATACAAAAAAGAAAAAGAAAGTGGTGTAAAGTAGCCATCAGAATAAAAGGCTTTCTGAGAGTTCTGACATTAATTTGGGAGAAAACCAAGTTTGGAAACTAAGGGATACAGTTAAAGGTTCAGTTGTGTATGTGTACCTGCTCTGCCAAATCTTTTCTATGTCTCTTTGAACTGAAATGCCTAACACTGGCTTGGGGCCTGTAGCTCAGCAGCTAAGGCGCCAGCCATATACATACACCAGGGCTGGCGAGTTCAAACCCGGCCCGGACCAGCTAAACAACAATGACAACCACAACCAAAAAATAGCCGAGTGTTGTGGTGGGAGCCTGTAGTCCCAGCTACTTGGGAGACCGAGGCAAAAGAATCGCCTAAGCCCAAGAGCTGGAGGTTGCTATGAGCTGTGACGCTACAGCACTCTACTCAGGGCAAAAGCTTGAGACTCTGTCTCAAAAAAAAAACAAAGAAAGGTGCCTAACACTGAAGCAAACATGTTAATGTAAAAGCTGCCCAGATTGAAGTGGTACCTCTCCAACTCCCCAGAAATCATTCCAGAAAAGCTGTGAGAGCCTCAGACATGCACAAGCACTAATACCTTTAAAAGGCCTTAGACAATTCCCCTGGCATCTTCTTGTAAACCACTGTCACCACAAAACTTTATTAAAGAAATAAGCACTCCCTCCCAAAACCCTCTGTACTTAAGCCAACTCTGGCAATAAATAACCATTCGACCAACCTTAACTCTGTAAGTCAGCATTTCCCAGACTGTGTTAATTAAGGATAGAATAGAAATTTGTGCCTAAATAAACTGGAAGGGAATGAGTCAACATGAATAAAACTGAGGACTAGATGAATGATAATACCAGTACCAATGACAAAATTAAGGAAGACCATAAAGTTTGTTCTAGGATGAAGACTGATTTTGGACACACTGAAAGTTACAGTGTGGACAACAAACAATGCACCCAGGGGAAGATGTTCATTTGGTAAAAAGTAAGATCCTTAAATGCAGGAAAAGGGATAAAGGACAGAAACATAGATTTCAGAATCATTTAATTAAAGTGGTAAAGACAAGAGAATAGAAAACATTAACAGTTACCTGAATGTGGACGGACTGATGATGACAGTACAAAAGTCATAAAAAAAAATTAAGAAGTGAGTCCTGAGACACAGGCACTTGGGCCTAGGAGTAAAAACCTATGAGCCAATAGAGAAGAGAAAAGAAGTGCAGCTCCAGAGAGAAAGGAAAACACAGAATAAGGAAGGCAAAAAGAGACAAGATCTTGAAGCAGATCAACAGAATCCATCACCCCGTAATGAATGAACACAGTGAGAACAGAGAAAATGTCAATCAAAGGATTTGGTGATTATGAGAAATCAGTAACCTTAGTGCAATCACTTTTCAGTGACTAGGGGTAAAAGTTGAATTTACAAGTAGTTATAGACGAGATCTTGAATTATCAGAAAATGGAGACAGCAAATGAAAACTACTCAAAAAATTTAAAAAAAAAAAAAAAAAACCTGAAAGCAGGCTGGGCATAGTGGCTCACACATGTAATGCTAGCACTCTGGGATGCTGAGGATGGAGAATCACTTGAGCTCAGAAGTTCAACACCAGCCTCAGCAAGAGCAAGACCTCCATACCTACTAAAAATAGAAAAGATTTAGCCAGGTGCTGTGGTGGGCACCTGTAGCCCCAGCTACTCGGGCGGCTGAGGCTGGAGGATGATTGGAACCCAGGAGCTTGAGGCTGCTGTGAATTAGGCTTATCCCAAGGGACCCTAATCTGGGCAATAGAGAGAGACTTTTCTCAAAAAGAAAAAGGCAGGGGATGACTGAACACAGTTAAAACTGCCTCCTTTTCCATCATCTCTAGGTCTCCCAATCTGAAGTCTACTCTACAACACTTCAAAGACAACATTGTATTCACCTTATGAAATACACCCTTAGGTAATAGCAATCTATATCTTTATCCCTCACAACAAAGTAAGCCATTTATTAGTGTCATGAGAAAGTCAACATTCAAGCACCAATAACATGCTTCTGTAACTGCATCCAAACAGACAGCAAACAACCGCAATATGAAACTACATTTTGAAAGATAAACAGTCTCTAAGACGTTCTCCACACACTCACATTAAACATATGTTACAGGCTAACAATCCTGAAGCTAGCTCTGTAGAACTCAAGCCATAATTTTATGTTAAAAAAAAAAAAGAGTAAGAGAGTGATTTAAAAATAAAATTAAAAAAAGTAAGAGAGTGATTAAAAATTCCAATTAAAAATAGTAGCTTTGGTGTTAGAAGCAAAGCTTTCATCTAAGAATATCAAAGCAACTTTTGAACATCTATTAATTATGGCCTTTCTCAGCTATCCTGTTTACTATAACAAAATACAAGCATGAACATGATTGCATTATACCCTGACAACAAATAAGATATAATTTTTAAGAATTTGTGATTAATAGTTATTATAAATTGGGATATAACAACAAAAGTCATTTTGGATAAAGTACTTCAGAATGAAAAGTAAAATCTTTTCCATTTAAACTTCAGAAACTGTCATCCCTAAACATTCAGAAAAGGACTACATTTTGGGGGGGGGAGACAAAATCTCATTCAGTCACCCCTGGGCCTCCCAGAGTGGTAGGATTACTGCTGTGAGCCACTGAGCCCAGCCCAAATTTTTTACTCTACTAAGGAAAAAGTTTGCTAAGCAAATACTACAAACAAAGTGCTAAAGCAACAAAAGCATACTACATATTTTCAGGTAGATATACCTACTTCATGTTCAATTCAAAAAGGAGGCAACAACATGGCAGAAAAAAAAACTACAAACGGGGAGAACAAGAAAAACCAGAATTTAGAGTGTAGCTACAATGTACGAGGCACACTACAGGGTTCTTCAAAAGATGTAATCTTGGTTAACTATCATATTAATCCTATGACATAGTTATTATTATCTCTAGTTTACAAACAAATAAAACAAATGAAGTTTCCTCAAGGCCATACAGCTAGTAAATGGCAAAGTCAAAACTGTGAGCCTACACTGAAGTGTAGGGCTCTTCCCTTTTATCACACTACTCTAAGAAGCAAGCCATCCAGCTTCTAGCCCTAGCTTCTCCACTAACTTCCTCAATTTAAAGACCTCAAATTTTCTTTTCTGTAAAATGAAGAGGGTAAACTCAATTCTGTTTGCAATTCTAAGTTATTATAATAAACTAAAAGGCAGACCTGATGATTACGCTGATGCTTAAAAGATAAAATTACAAAGTCCCTGCATATATTTTACTAAGTATGACTCTATTACTATCAGCTTTCATTCTATGCTTCTCTCAATTGCTGGATCAGAAATTAAGAAACATCAACATAGCAGATTAGACACCAAGAATCTCTTTCCCAAAAGTGAGAAAAAATATGTAAGAAAATAAGTGTTGCCAGGCATGGTGGCTCAAACCTGTAATCTTAGCACTCGGGGAGGCCAAGGCAGAAAGATCCCTTGAGCTCAGGAATTCCAGATCAGCCTAAGCAAAAGCAAGACCATCTCTACTAAAATACAAAACATTAGCCAGGCATTCTGGCAGGGGGCTGTAGTCCCAGCTACTTAGAAGGCTAAGGCAGGAAGATCACTTGAACCCAGAAGTTTAAGGTTGCTGTGAGGTAGGCTGATACCACAATACTCTAGCCTGGGTAACAGAGTGAGACTCTGCCTTAAATAAATAAATGTACTTATTTATTTATTTGGCTGGTTGTTTATGCAATTAGAGTACCAAAAGTACCCATATGGTTATTATGAAATTACCATATGACCTCTATCTTCAAATACTATCTCAGAAAGCCATCTGAGGCCTCAGAGGAAGAGGGTACTAACCAGGATATACAGACATTAAAATCAAAATTCACAACTGCCAACCAAGAGTCAGGAATCCTACCTGTGTGTTTCAATCTGTGGTTCAAGAAACATATAGAATAGAATCAGCTGCTATGCTTAATAAAAATTCAGACCCCCAAAGGCTGACCCATAAAGACTGAACCAGAATCACTGAGGGGCCACATACACGGAGGCTGGCAGGTTCAAACTCGGCCCGAGCCAGCTAAACAATGACCACTGCAAACAGCCAGGTGTTGTGGCAGGCGCCTGTAGTTCCAGCTACTTGGGAGGCTGAGACAAGAGAATCGCTTAAGCCCAAGAATTGGAGGTTTCTGTGAGCTGTGATACCATGGCCATGGCATTCTACTGAGGGCAATGTAGTAAGACTCTGTTTAAAAAAAAAAAAATCCTCTGCACAGGAGATATACAGAGGGTGCAAAAAAAAAAAAAATGTATGCACACTTTAAGAAAGGAAAAAACTACTAAAATTGTAGTACTCAAAATATATCAATAACATAAGATGGATACAGGCGATGTTCAGCATCCCTTGTAATTGCAGAAGTCAAACGTGACTTGAATATTCCAAATTTAATGCCGTTTTTCCTGTCTTAGGTGTGTATACATTTTTTGGCACCCTCTATAACAATGGTTCTCAACCTGTGGGTCAAGACCCACAGGAACTGTATTAAAGGGCCACAGCATTAGGAAGGTTGAAAAACACTGCTCTATAATATTCAAGTGATGTTGACTTCTGCAGTTACAAGGGATGCTCAACAGGACCTGTATTCATCTTATGCTATTGGCAGATTTTGAGAATTACCATTTTAATAGTTTTTCAATAGTTTGGCATACTGTATGTAGACAGTCTACATATGTACATGTGTGTACGGTGGAGGAGTGGGGGTGAATGTGTGTAAAAGTATCAGGCCGGGACCTAGCACCTCATCAAAGATTATTTCTTGGCTCAGCGCCTATAGCTCAACCGGCTAAGGCGCCAGCCACGTACACCTAAGGTGGCGGGTTCGAATCCCCAGCCCGGACCCGCCAAACAACAATGACGGCTGCAACCAAAAAATAGCCGGGCGTTGTGGCGGGCGCCTGTGGTCCCAGCTACTTGGGAGGCGGAGGCAGGAGACTCGCTTGAGCCCAGGAGTTGGAGGTTGCTGTGAGCTGTAATGCCACGGGACTCTACCCAGGGGGACAGCTTGAGGCTCTGTCTCAAAAAAAAAAAAAGATTATTTCTTCCCATAAGCCTTAAATATCTTCTCCATCCAACCTGTGAAATCAGCTCACATCATTTAAGCAGTCCAAGTGTCTTTTCTTGTAAAGTAATCCTAATATCTGAATCTGCCTCATCTAGCAATACACAATGCATCTACAGACTAAAGCTCCTTCTAGCTTCCTCTAATAGCAGGGGGCCCAGAGTAGCCCACCCTCCCAGCAAAGCTGATTGCAAACAACTTCTACACTGGGATCAACTAGCTCCTCAGGAACTCTCATGCTAATTTCCTGACCTATCTCTAAATCTTGCACTAGCTGCCACTCCTAATGTTATGAACAGATTTCCAGTATTATGGATATCATCTCCTGGTAGCAAACATTCTACTTATTTAATGAACAGCCTCTCTTAGTGACTAAATTGTACAGTGACCAGTCCCCAAGAAATGCGTTAATTATGAAGGCCCTCTCTTTTCAATTTTATCTCCCTGATTACAATATTACATTCCATGTCTTATCTTTGCACTCCAAACTTAACATTTCTCCAAAAATTCCTGACATATAAACTAGGTGTTCTATTTGGAATTTTTGTTTTGCTTTGTTTTATTCTGTTTTTTGAGACAGTCTCACTCTGTGCCCTGGGTAGAGTGCCATGTCATCACAGCTCATAGCTCTTGGGCTCAAGCTATTCTCTTGCCTCAGTCTTCCAAGCAGCTGGGATCACAGGCATCTGCCACAACACCTGGCTATTTTTAGAGTTGAGGTCTCCCTCTGGCTCAGGCTGGTCTCGAACCTGTGAGCTCAGGCAACCAACCTGTCTCGGCCTCCCAGAGTGCTAGGATTACAGGCATGAGCTACCACACGGGCCTAATTTTTCTATTTTTAGTAGAGATGGGGTCTCGCTCTTGCTCAGGCTGGTCTTAGAAGTCCTAAGCTCAGGTGATCCACCTGCCTGAGCCTCCCAGAGTGCTAGCATTTCAGGCATGAGCCACCATAAGCAGACTGCTCTATTTGTTTTGCAATTCAATGGCAATTTCTGGTTTTTGCTTCATCCAAATCTTCTTGTCAATGGTGTCCGTGGTATACAGAAGTTAGATAGTAAGGCTGGACACAGTGGCTCACACCGGTGATCCTAGCACTCTAGGAGGCCAAGGCAGGTGTACGCTTAAGCTCAGGAATTCAAGACCAACCTGATGAAGAGTGAGACTTAATTATACTAAAAAAAAGAAAGAAAGAAGAGGAGCGGAGGGGAGGGGAGAGGAGGAGAGGAGGAGAGGAGAGGAGAGAAGAGGAGAGAATTAGCCAGGCATTGTGGCAAATGCTTGTAGTCTCAGCTATGCAGGAGGCTGAGGTAAGAGGATTGCTTGAGACCAGATTGAGGTTGGCGTGAGCTATTGCTATGGCACTCTATCCAGGTGACACAGTGAGACTCTGTCTCTTAAAAAAAAAAAAAAAGTTAGATACTAAATATGTTCTCTATTTAAACAGGATATTTCCATGCCAATTTTTTAACTCTCTCATAAATTATAAAATATTAAACTACTAAAGAACTTAAAATATCAGACAAGTTAATAAGGAGACTGTCTTCTGTACATTTCATGTATTTTTTTTGTTGGTGGTTTTCTGGTTGTGCCTGTTGGCTTATTTGTGACAGAGTCTGGCTCTCTCACCCAGGCTGGAGTATAGTGGCAGGATCACAGCTCACCTCATTCTCAAGCAATCTCCTAGCTCAGCCTCCCAAAGTGCTGAGCTTTGGGAGGTATGAGCAACCATGCCCACAGCCCATATTTTAATAATACCTACTAACATGATTTTAGATAAATGTTTCAGATAATTTGCTTTTCCTAATAATGTCTATCCTTTATATAGGAAAAGCTAGTTACTATATCCAGTTAGCCACTTAATAAATAAGACTACATTAAATACACAGGAAACTTTCTGGGAGGAGTCCTAATTTCCAATATTCAAACAGAAAGTTGCAGATGTTAGACTTACTGTTAAGTGAACTAGCAGGCTACAGAGATACACTCAGATTTAGAGAGAGATCCCATTTTTACACACAGACATGGAAAAAGGATAAGAAAGGTTATATTAGGACAAGTGATTTATTTCAGCTTTATATTTATCTTTTCTAAATTTTCTATAATGAACCTGAATTACTTTTATAATAAATGATGCAAGTAATTTATCTTTTTTTTTTGTTTTTTGAGATAGAGCCTCAAGCTATCCCCCTGGGTAGAGTGCCGTAGCATCACACCTCACAACCTCCAACTCTTGGGCTCAAGCGAGTCTCCGCCTCTGCCTCCCAAGTAGCTGGGACCATAGGCACCCGCCACAATGCCTGGCTATTTTTTTTGGTTGCAGCCATCATTGTTGTTTGGTGGGCCCAGGCTGGATTCGAACCCGCCACCTTAGGTGTATGTGGCTGGTGCCTTAGACACTTAAGCCACAGGTGCTGAGCCAATTTATCTTTTTTATAACTTTCAAAAGTCCACTCTCCAAACAAATGGACTACTCTGTTCCTATACTCTCCCAACACTTTTTTATATTCAGCAGGGTAACATTATTGTATCTGAAAACACACTTTGTTTAAAAGAGATGATCCTAGTTTGGTTGATCTCAAACCTCTTTCATATTTTAATCTATTATCACCTTTCTTGACAAAACTGCATAGTTCTCTTTCACACGCAAAATACACCATTATTTCCACCAGGATAAAGCAAAAC